GCAGAATCCAGCCAATAGGATAAAAGGAATAAAACATGAGGGAGAAAAAAACCGCAAAAATTGAATAAAAACATGGGGGTACAATATAATTGAATGTGCATTAACAGTAGATTAAAAACTCTTTAACAAAAACAGTCTCTGTTTCTATAGATGTGTATCCAGTCTAGTCACACCACACTTTTTTCCTTATAGTTCTCTGCTAAGGTCTCCTGCATCGTCTGTTTCCACAATCTGAACTTCCCTTTTTCATCATAGGCACTTCCAACAGAGGCCTGTGCCTGGTTAACATGCTATGAAAACTGTATCATAGCTGTGGAACTTTGCACACACAGGGGTGGGAATGGTAGACTGGAGAAGAAATGAGCTGCAAGGGTAAGCCGTGGCCAGAGAAAAGAAGTGGTTTACAAGAGGTACAGTAAGCCCTTCCCCAGTGGTGGGTGGTGATGAGCTCAGCTCAGCTCTGGTCTGGTCAGATGAACAGCCATAGAGCGATAATCTAAAAAGATATTTATGCTAATGTTCCCTTCACAGTTAACAAGCTAAATCTGCCAACAACGAAGACTTTTAAATATTTACTACTTTACTTCGAAAGGAATAATTTCTGACAAGCTAGGAAGCAGCATTAAAGCACTATGGAAAATGGTTTATAATCCTCTTATATCTATAACTTGTTTTCTGAGGTCAAGGATGATGCCATTTTTCAGTGTTTCCCAGCAGCCACATGCTCTGCAATTACAAATAGTACTAGCAGAAACCTTCATTTGTAAAAAATCCAGATTTTTTTGCGATTGATTTCTCTATGTGATCTTTCAGAATACTATTGTGTCCCTCTTAAAATAAACACTAGATATTAATCCTTTTAGCCTTGTTAATCATCGAAGAGCTGTATAGTGCTACTGCTACTATCCTCATTTTTTTTTTTTTTCAAAAAGCACAACAGAATGTTTTAAAGGATGCATGGGCCCAATACTCTATCTATGTCGGGGATTTTTTTCATTCATTTCCACTGTTAAAAAGGAATGACTGCACTGAGAAAAGTATCTCAATGTAAAACACTAGTAAGATATTCTTGTTCTTTGAAGAAAATATAGCAGATTGTGTGTCAGTGAAGCAGACAAACATAACTTCACTTGTAAAAAATCTGTGTTCAGCATACACCTAAGCATCCACCTAAAACATTTTCCAGTCAGTACTTAAATTTAAACGTGTACCTTAGTGTTTATTGGATTTAGTTCATCATACACACCCATGAGTATGTTTATTTAATGAATAATCTTTTTTAATGCATGTTTTCCATTTCTGTAGCTCACTAAACATCCTTAATTTTGGTTCTGTCCATTAAACATTTGTCCTTTCCCCAAGTACTCTGTTTCAGGAAGGTCAGAGCCTTTTCCCATAGCGTGACTTTTCAATTGCAAAAAATTTTTCTGTCTCAGCAGATTTTTTGAGAATTTGCAATGTTAGCTGCCACATTTTTAATCTTATAATTTTAACTTATATCCAGTAAAACCTGACTTTATGGATAATTATAAAGCGTAGAGTAAAGATGATCCTGAAACAAAAGATAAATCGTAATTATAAGCATCATAACTGTTTGTGCTACTTTGTACACAGTAGGTAAACTGCTGCAAAGAGTAATTTGTTTCGTAAAAAATAATCCTAATTTTAAACAGGAATAAATTACACCTGTGTATACCCTTTTATATCAGGCTATCAACACTCTATCAGCCATGGGAATATGTATTTCATTAATATGATACTATTTGCACAGAAATTCTCATTACAGTCAAATCCTTAGAGCTGTCCTCAAAGTGGTGGTCAACAGACTTCATAGGGTTATATGACCCAAGTGCCCTTTCTAGTCTTTTGCACTGAGGGAGGGTAAGTGGTGAAGGTGGGGGCACCACTGCTATATGGGTTGTAGATTCAGGACAGACTTGCAGTATAAGACTGTAAATATAATGAGGCGTATCTTCCCTGGTGCTTACTGTGGTCTCTCCAGGTCTATCCAACCGGGGTGTCCAACTGTGGAGAGGGAGAGAGGGCAGTCACGACACTGTTGCACATAGGCACTGGTCTCCATTAGGGCTGCAGGGAAGTGGGCAAGAGAGAGGCTGGTTGGCTCCATGGGAGCTGGCCTCAGAGATGCATTGTCAGTAACACAGCTAATGGAGCCAGCTGAGGACGCAACTGTGTGGCTGGAGCTGTTCACTCTGCAGTTCTCTTTTGGCTGCTTTTCCCACTGCTGTTCGTACGGGCCCAGAGGCTCTCAAACAGACAGAACATTGTCCATTTCCCATGTGATTTCAAAAGGTTTTATTTCCTCTTTCTCTAGCAAAAACTTTGGGGTGAAAAACCTTGGGTTTTTTTTAGTAAACTGGATTATTACTATATACTAGATCTAAATATTAATCTTGGTTTTAATCCAGCTTTGAATAAACTACTTTTATATACCCCCTAGCCTTCCATTAACATTCCTATATGTTTTTGAGGAAGTTATTTTACTTGTAAGCTTTCAGATAATCTCTGCCAGACTGTAAGAAGATGCAAAAATCAAGAAAAATATTGGCTTGTGTAATTCTGTTGCAAATGCTAGTACTGCACAGGGAAAACATTGTATTCATCTATTTTTTTTTTTAATATACAGAGGTATAACTCCTTTTCACAAAATAAAATAAAAGATGTATTTCCAGAAAAATGAAAATAGAGTCCAGCTTTCCTGATTGAAATACTACAAAAATAATTTCCTTCTTATTAATTGACATTGCAAAAAGTTATGTTACTTTTTAGAAGATAAATAATCATTAATAGAAAGTGTAAAAGCAGTCTTGAAACATCAGTGTGTCTGTGTGTGAAGTATGTCTGCATATAAAAATTATTTTTATGTTGCATGTTTCCATAAAATAGAGGAAAACATTAACAATATTAAAAATTATACATTATCAGATGTTTCATTAGAATGTATTGGAATCATAGAATTGTAGAATGGTTTGGATTGGCAGGAACCTTAAAGATCATCTAGTTCTAAGCGCCCTTCTGTGGCCAGGGATACTTTCCACCAAACCACGTTGTTCAGAGCTCCGTTAAGGTCCAGTTACATCCAATATACATTGGCAAAATCCCCTGTTGCCAATTTCTTTCTAGAGCACAGGTTGTTAAACTTGTATTGCAGCACAGCATTTTAATGGCAGTGTAGTTAGAGTGTTTGTCATTCTTGCCATTTTATTTATCACTTCTTTCAAATGTCTTGAAAAATAGGAGGTATGAGTCATGCAGAGCAACACTTAACCTATGCTTTAGGTCTAAGACCATCATAAAATTAGAATATGGAATTTTGTATAATTGCAAATAAATTCAGTGTTTTAATAAATACGTACCATTGCATGGTGTAAATTGAGACCCCACCCTGAAATCTGTAAAAATCCCACTTTATTGATGTGCAGTGTAAATAAATTGAACTCCTTGTTCATTATAATTAATAACAAGGAATTCCTGTTTCTCTGCAACATATTGGAAGATTTTGTACTGAAACATGACTTGGCTTGCACTGCAGTCATCTTTCCCTCTGTATTCTGCAGCATTATAACTTTGCACCCTTAGAAGTTGAATTTTCTGAAAAAAAGTGTCTGGAAGACAATGAGCAGTGTTGGTTCCCTGCGTCATGGGAGAGGTTCTTCACAGCATGGGATCTGATGGATTTTTTAATTTGATGAATTCTTTGATCCGGTGATAAGTGTTGTATCAGAATACTACCATTTCTGTCTAACACTGTAGAGCCTTAAGAAAGGACTAACAGGTGTATAACATTGTTTTGGGGATTAATCTGTAAAGGTAGTGTTGGTAAGATAAGTGATTTGCAATCCAATAGTTGAATTTTGATCAGAGTTTTCTTCAACTTTTAGGAAACACTAAGTCCTCAGTGAAGTCACTAAATGAAGTACAGTACCTGGGGAAAAAGGTATGGAATTGTATCATTTAAATTACAGTACTGAGGATCAAACTTATATTTAAACAAATTGAAATATTGAACTTTCTAATTATTTACAAGTAGGAGGTGAGTTGCAGAAAATGAACTGTTTAAGATGTTTGTAAAGTTAGTCTTACAGATTTATATCAACAATGTATTGTAAGAATATGATGCAAAAGCAAAATGAAAGCTAAGATATACCAATTTACAGAAATTAAATAAAAACAGAGCAGAGTGTTATGGAGAAGAAATGTATAGCAATATTTAGAATTCCTTTTTGCTATTGTTAGCAAAATAGAAATGTTTTCCCTTACTTGACCAAATATAGAGAAATAATCTAGTCATGATCTCTATATTTCAGAAGAATGACTTGCTAAATTTCTGGTTCTTCATTATAAAGCGACATTAGTTAAGATTTGTTGTTGCTAAATGTGCAAAATGTTTTAACTAATTCAGCTGAATAGAAATAACTTTTACTGTTCTTTTGCAAAAAAAAAATCTGCCTGTGGAGAATTGTATTTCAGTTCTTGTGCTGTAACTAGATTTCAGAGCAAGTCTGTCCTAACTGACTTTTAAATTTTAACTATATATATTTTTAAATTAAATAAAGAATTGTCTAGGACCATTAATTAAGCAAAAAGACTTTATGCTGCGCTGAGGGCATCAGGTGTCTGTAGAGAGGAGTGGTCAGCTTCAACTTGTACAACAAATGAATTTGTTCATTCCAATATACCCCAGTTTCAAATTCCTAGCAGGACCATAAATAAGGGGAATGAAGAGTAAATTTCTGAATTCAAAAAATTTTGGATTCAACTTTAATTACTGAATCCAGAATACTCATTCTTGACCTTCTACACAAAAATTGTATAACAATTGTCAACAAAAACTCCTTTTTTTTTTTTTAATCCATGAGTTCTGAACTCATTGTTTCTCTTCAGTAGAAAAAACGTTCCAGGAAGATTTGAAAAAACTTGGTTTTTCTTAACTGTATAACTTACTCTCTAAACCAAGAACTTGAAAATCACACAATGGCATGAAACGTGACTGTGCTGTAGGGCACGGAATGTGACTGTGCTTTACTCCAAAAAATAAGATTCAAGATTCTGCAACAACAAAGGAGAAATAGGTTTTAAAAATTTTGTCAATTTTTTAGGTCAAGGTGACATCAAAGCTGTTGCATAAGCTCACACTAGGCTCTTTGCGTCATTGTTTACGCTTTTGCTTAAAATAAGTTTCTGGCTGGACTTATGCTCCTCGGTAATTGTAATAGAAAAGGAAGAGAGTATAGCTTTTAAAGAATATTTCTTTCTTTCCCCACTGACAATTAGGCTTATAAAAATCTCTTAAAAGTTTGCTCAAAATATCAATCTGACAAACTGATGGGAACAATTTACATTGTTAATGACAAAACTATGTATGAGAGCTTTGAAACTTAATGGTTTTTATTTTTGTTTCATTACAGGCAAAAACTGAGTTAAAAACTGCTGGCAGAATTTCAGCAAGATTCTAGAACAGTCTTTCCAAATTAGGAAAATATTACTCTATTATTGTGGATCATCCAAGATGCAACTGATCAGTTGTATTTCAGACATCTTTTGTATCCTTGAGTCTTTTGTTTTAATGGTAAAATAAAAGTAAAAACATCTAAATGAGAAAATCATCCAATGGAGCAGATGATGTAAGAGCTCTAACACTGAAGATTCAAACCAAGTTTGAAAATGTGTTTGCAATGTGTTGACATATGTGCCCCTGAAAATAAGGCAAATGAAACACTTCACTGACCTTCAGTGTAGATTGTGGTTCTACACTCACCAGACAGTCAAACATATGAACAAAACAATCAGGGCTAAAAATCTATTTCTATGTAGGCAGCAAAACAATAACACAATTAATCAATTAAAAGCACATTCACCATTGCATTTATTTTATTAATTTATTTTAATCTATTGTCTCACCATGAGCAGAACTTTCATGTCTAGCTTGCTGAAATTACTGTTTACATAGCTTTTGTGACCTGTTTTAGCTCAGCTTAGATACTGAGTTTTCTTAATAATAAAAAGACCCTTTATGTCTTCAGTAAGCATGAGAAGTTGACCTATCTCCTGTTTCTTGTGTAGTCCATAGGATAGTTGGATGACTGTAAGTTGCATGAGTAGAAAAAGCTGAGATATGCTGATGGATGTGTATCAGCCCTGGTTCCTATATTTAAAACTTACTTCAGCTGTACCATTTCTGGGACAAACCCAGCAAAGTTGCTATGCCACAGGCAGCTCACATACGGAGCAAGGCAATATCTGTAAGGGAACAAATAAGCAATCGAGTGAGAGAAGACATTATGGCTGCAAAACTAGGGTGCCAGAGAGGTACTCTCATCTTTCAGGCCCACCTGGACCACTAGCTAAAATTCATGCCACTGCAGGCAAACTTCTACCCAGGAATTTTGTGGTAGGATCACCAGGGTTGTCGAATGAGAGAGACTGAGCTTCATGGGGCAGGTGAACTGGTAGGCAGGGAGGAAAGCAACCTTCTTTGTATTCCCTAATACCATTCAGTCTGATTTACTTTATCTATTAGAGATGTCCTTTCCCAAATCTACTACCACAGGGTTAGTGAGGGTTTCATTTATTTATTTTGTTAAAATAAGTGACCTGGCCTGGGAGTACTGCTAGAACTGAGAGATAACATCAATTTTCAAAACCCATTTTGCATGCTATTCCAAATAGCTGACTGAAAAGGAAAGATGTGTGAATGACATATTCTGTGTGACAGCAGTGGTGAATCAAAACCATAACTGGGGCTGACATGAAAGCAGTAATGGACTGAATCAGACTGCACATAAGTCAGAAGTCTCCATGACCCAAAAACTGGTGCAAACATTGTCTTTGATTTCTTCAGTGTTGAATGTCAGATCTGCCAGTGCTGCATTTTGACTGCTCTCTCATTCATGGGAAACTGTTCTATGTCTATGACGTCAGAATGAAATCATAGGTCAGCTTAGTTGCTCTTTTGTATGAAACATCTGGGATGATTGCAATGAACTGTAAATCCAATAATTTTAATGTTTGTTCTGTATGCTGTGAGGCAATTTGTTATTCTCTTTAAGACTTTTTTTGTGCTGTTCTTTATGCTCAACCCCTCCCACCCTGGTATGGTAAAAAAAAACCAATACAAGTCTTCCCTCTTCTGATAATGCACCTTTGTGTGAGCTTTTTCGTTTCATAAGGATTAAAAAGCCCAGCAGATTATAGTATTTCATCAATTTGGCAGAAAGAGGTAATAACTAGGCTACAAGAGCCAAAAAGAGAAATTTCTGCATAATCAAGTTTTTATTTGATGGAATTTTTATTTGATGACTCTTTGTCGTAGTTGGAGACCCCAAAAATCCAATTTCCAAGTCCAAGTCCCCCTCCCACAACTTACCCCAGTGTGAGAGGTGTTTTCCAGACACAACACAAGACTCAGTATGGGAGAAAGGGAATTATATTACAATTATTACACAAATAAATAGTATAATATATTATATACACAATCCTAACTATCTCTCCTATGGTAAAGCAATATTTACATTCAATCAAGTCTCCTCCCCCTCCAATAAAAGTTCAGAAGGGAAGAAGGAAAGACCCTTTCCACGTTCAGGACAGCAGCGTCTCTCCAATGCAGCGGTCGTAGCCGGAGCTGTTGTAGCTGGATCTCTCTCTCTGTCTCTCTCTCTCTCCATTATACACAAGAGGGTCTCCTCTCACCCCTCTCAGCCCTTTGGCTCCAAGCAAAGGTCTCTCTCCCGTGGGCTTGCAAAAGCAGGGACAAAACTCACCTTACCACGGTCATATAATGGGGTGTAAGACATCCCATGAAAGTCCCTTCCTCAGGGGATTCAAACTCCTCCTGAGTCAGAACATTTAGGGCAGCTCACAGTTCAGTCTTTGCCCCAAGCGTCCTATCAGAGCTCCTCTGCTCTGTCTCAACTGCCAGCACGGCAGCAGCGGAGGGGTAAGGCCACCTCCTCTGCATTCTGTCCGACTGTCCCGGTCCAACTTCCAGGACATCTCTGAGCTTCTTAGCTCCTCTCTCTCTGCTGCATGCTGCATTTTAGGACTTCCATCAAGTAGAAGTCCACCCCCTCCTCCCAGGAGGGGTCTCAAAGGGGTTTTGGGGAGATTTAATTCAGTTTTACCCCAAAAACATCTCTGTTGAGCTTAGTCCTCTCTCTCTCCCTCCGTCCGACATCTAAGTGTCTCTCAGCTTGGCTGCAATGCCATCTTTGCTGCTTGTTATCTTTTTGGCTCTCAGCCACAATTCTCTGTTCACTGCTGCTCCGCTGCTGCTTTCAGTATCTCTGGCTGCCCACTCACAGCAAGAAAACTTCCCCCAGTTCTTAGCTACAGTACCTGGCCCAGTTTAACACTGTTCCAAATTCCTTCAGCCCCCAGCTGGGGGCTGGGAGGGCCTAGCCCCCAGCGGGGCTCTTGGCTCTTCTCCCCTCGTTGCCTAAAACATGGCTACTTCTTGTCCAGCTACGTCATCTCCCTTCTTTTTCCAGTCTGTTGCAATATGTTGATTTCAAAGGAGCAAAATGCAGCTTTTGATTAGCCCTGCACCCAGAACAGCACCCCCTTGGGGTTACCACTTTTCTTAACTCCAGGGGAAAACACTATTTCCCTACCACACTCTTGGGCTTGGATTCTGGCCTTCATTTGTGCAATAGAAAGTATTGCATGAGGAAGGACAAAATTTCACTCTTAAGCACTCATAGTTTAGAAAATATGAAGGACTTTATTCCTAATTTAATAAGGTCTGTCAGCTGAGCAGAATGTGAAAGGAGGTACAGAAAAGTGGAAGTGAGTTCTTTCTCATATTCACAGGGAATATGAGAGTGGAACTGGTCTGCTTTCTTTACCTCCTGCTGTGATAACCATGACAGACAACTTAGTTAGGCCTTGGCATAAGGTACATTTTTGAAGCATTTCTCGTATATTCTGAAACGGCCATATATCAAGCATCTCCTGTCACTCAGAGTAGTATATCAATTTTTATTGGTGTAGTTTCTCATTGCAACAGCCTCTCACAGGCTGAATGCTTTTAGAAAAACCATGAATGATATTTCACCATATTCAAAGTAAACAAGTCCTACTTAAAAAAGATTCATTATATTTGGTGTAATTTTTTTTGTTTGTTTTTAAATCCCATATTTTATTAGCAGCCCTTTAGTGGAAAAGAGGGAAAAAATAAATAATTAAATTATGCCATTCATCAGAACAGGTATCTTCATTTATATGGATCAAAGGCAAATGTCCTGATAGTGGTATAGCCTTGAAGACTTACAAAGCTAAAGTTTTTGCATTTATCAGAATAAATTATTTCCTGACAGCTCAACAGCGAGAGACATCCTCAATCACTTAGGTCTATAGTTCACACAGGATCAGATATTTTTAGCTGACAGTTGTACAAATCTCAGAATATACAAAGTTGCAGGCTCTTTTATAACTGTGATGAATAGGGGACTCTCATTTAATATATTTTTGAACAATGTGCAGGACATTTATGTCAGTCAAATCAAGTCCTTTGGATGGTGAAGTATAAATTGTGGGGTGAAGTCACAGCCCCACAACTGAAGCTTGAGGGGTTTGGAATATTACAAAGTGTTGGGCTGTTTTCCATGAGAGCAGTGGAGCTAATTCGATAGTTCCCATGGACATAGCCTTGATTTATAAAGAGTACAAGGTTAAGGCTGTTTGGCTGAGTGCAGGTGCTGCATTCCTGGGTGTTTTTGTAAGAATATGTTTACGTTATATGTGTGGGAAAATAGAAGTTAGAGAACTCAATAAAAAAGCTGCCTGCTGCGCTGAGCAGGCAGACATCTCTCTGTCTCATCCTAGTGTGTCTCATCATCCTAGTGTGTGTGTCGGTGTCTTTCTTCCCCCACAGACCAAGGCCTCCGACAGGTACCCTACGACAATAAATGACTAAAAACGTGACAGTTTCAGAAACCTGGTGAAAGCCTGCTCCCATTAGTTGAGTGGGGTCTGGGTATAAAACAAAGAATCACAAGAATTAGGAGTTTTGTTGGGTGGTCCTTTTACGTGAAAATGTGCCCATATTAAATTTAAAGGAACTATTGACTAAGTTGTGCTTAAAAATATTGTCTTTAGTGTCTGAGTTACTGCTAAGGAAGTATATCAACCAAAGATTCCTCCCTGGTTGCTTCATTTGAGTGGTTTTTCAGACAAAGGAGATCCTGTTACAGGCTTCTCAGCTGGACTAATGTTCAAAAGTGGTTTTTCTGTCTAATGGAATGTGATGAATTTAAAAGTAAAATGATAAGTTCATCTATTTCTTGCCAATAAACCATGGATCTGTTCCCTATCTTTACAATTCTGTAATATTCCTGAGTCTCATCTTTGTGTGTATGAAGAAATCATAACACCAAGCTACTGGGAGAATACCACTTGACACTTTTTGTTTGTTAAATTAAATAGATGATAAAACAGAAAATTGCACCACTTACGGTACTTTAAAACACTTTGGAAATGTTTCAATATATTTCAGTCTTTTTTAAGAACTTTGTATCATTACCCCAGAAGAGCGTAATTATAAAATATCAAGACCATTGGTTTAATCTTTTCCTAGTCTGGCAATTATCACATAATTTCCTAAATAGTGGCTTGGGTTTTTGTCTGGGTTTGGTTTTCAAAAAAAAGGAATGTCATCTAAACACTTGTAAGAGACAGTGGACTTTTAATTATCTCCAGAGAGTTAGAGGACAACTTGACTATGAGTAGTACAATTCATAAGAGAACTTGGCCTAACACAAGTAGACAATTAAGCTGAAACCCCAAAGGTGGTCTGGAATAAATGCTGGGTTAAAAATACTATGGAGAATAGAACAACACCTTATTCTTTGTCTAGTTTAATTTCATTTGCACCTTCAGGAACATTCCTGTAGGCAAGATTAAGAACACAATGCACTACCGGTACATGTGAAACTGAGTTCAGTTTATTGAAAACAGGTTACAGAGTGTTCATATGTAAGAAATATGAAGACAGACACATTCTTTCAAAACAGGAAGCATATGAAGAAAAATACATATTTAATGTCCTCAGACAACAAAAAGTTATAATAGAATAGTGAAAAGAGAGTTGTTCCAAGTTACGTAAAAGGAAAAATAAAATGTCTTCAAACTGATGTAAGACAAATTGTTACCTTAAAAATAAAAAATCAGAGTTGTTGAATATTACTTTAAAAAGAAGGAGCAGCAAATTTTCCCTGACACATAGGTAAAGGAACTGAGAAAACTGATTGTAAGACTGTGGTCTTATGTTTCAAGTATTGTGAGAGATTGTCATGTGTCATGGTTTGAGATAGCCCCAAAATCCAATCCCCTAGTCTAAGCCCCCTCCCACATCTCAACCTAATGTGAGATGGGTTTTTTCCAGACAAAACAC